TAAAACTCACTGATTTCTAATTAAAGATAAAGTCATGATGCTGAAATTATCAAAGCACTCTTCTATATGCTTAGTTTTTAACTCTTTTCATTTATTTATTTTTTTGAGACGGAGCTGGGACCATGGGTGCGTGCCATGCCTGGCTAATTTTTGTATTTTTAGTAGAGATGGGGTTTCACCATGTTGGCCAGGCTGGTCCCGAACTCCTGACCTCAAATGATCTGCCTGCCTCGACCTCCCAAAGTGCTGGGATTACAGGCATGAGCCATTGCACCCAGCCAGTTTTTAACTTTTAAACTTACGGCTGACAGCTGAAGGAAGCTGTCATCACATCCTTGAAGCATGTGCATGGAAAGAGAGGCAGCGTATCTCCTAGTGTGGTGGGAGACTTCAAGTGAACTCTTGTCCGTAATAGGCAGCAGCAGCCTGCAATTCAGGAAACTGCTGCTCCTTTTCTTTTATCTTTTTTTTTCTTTTGAGACAGAGTCTCGCTCTGTCGCCCAGGCTGGAGTGTAGTGGCACAATCTTGGCTCACTGCAACCTCCACCTCCCAGGTTCAAGCGATCCTCCTGCCTCGGCCTCCTGAGTAGCTGGGATTACACGGGTGTGCTACCATGCCCAGTTAAGTTTTGTATTTTTAGTAGAGACGAGGTTTCGCCACGTTGGCCAGGCTGGTCTCGAACTCCTGACCTCAGGTGATCCATCTGACGCCTCACAAAGTGCTGGGATTGCAGGTGTGAGCTGCCACACCCAGACTGCTGTTCCTTTTCTGCCTGAATGCCCTGGCCACTTCCACCTAAGGCAGGAACTCATTCCTCAAACTCACTTCTAATGTGAGGTTCTCCTGCCTCTCTTGGGAGGATGGGTTCCACATCCTTTTTTTCTTTTTTTGAGACAGAGTCTCGTTCTGTCACCCAGGCTGGAGTGCAGTGGTGCGGTCTCGGCTCACAGCAACCTCCGCCTCCCAGGTTCAATCAATTCTCCTAGTCTCAGCCTCCCGAGTAGCTGGGATTACAGGCGTCTGCCACCACATCCGGCTAATTTTTGTATTTTTATAGAGACGAGGTTTCACCATGTTGGCCAGGCTGGTCTCGAACTCCTGACCTCAGGTGATCCACCTGCCTCGGCCTCCCAAAGTGCTGGGATTACAGGCGTGAGCCACCGTGCCTGGCCTCCACATCCTTTTCTGTGCTTCCCCTGCACTGAGTCCAAATTTCCATTTCGGCACTGACTATATCATATTGTAATTACTTTGCCATCCATTTCCTCTACCAGACTATGACCTCTTTGTCTTAGTCATCTGAGCCTTCCCAGCACCATGTGTGGTGCTTGTCAGAAACTCAGGATCATGACTGTGTAAATGAGAACTGAAATCCAGGAGAGAAGAGAGAAACCAAGGTGAAGCAAAATGGAGAAAGAAAATCTGTTTCAAGTGCAAAATTTAGCTTTTCAAAGCTTCATCCAGTGTGGAAGTCTTCTCTCTCAGAAACAACATGGCTAAAAATTAAATTACCTATGTGGGTTCCCAGTAATTTAATCTTAATGAAAGCTTAGGTGATGCCAATTTCTTATTCCCAAATGCTATTGCTCAAAAGGCAGAAACCCAGACCCTGTCTTATTTGTGATAGGTAATTCACATTTGTGTACTGGCAGCATCCTTTGTTTTGTGGCAACATGCATGTCTGAGAGGCAAAGTCATCTCATATAAACTCAGCCATTCATGTACTTAGAGAAATTTGCAAAATGGGGACACAAGCGATCTTTGAATATATTGTTCTATTTAACTAGAATATTCTTCCTCTTCAATTTCACTGGGTTTATTAAAGGGTTTTCAGCTGGTTCACATTGTTACCAGTTGTTTGTTGATGTACTTACTGGTTGTTTACAGCAGACATCCATAGTTACTGCTGATGATCTATGCTATATAAATTGTTAACTGATTTTTTGTTTGTTTGTTTTTGTTTTTTGAGATGGAGTTCCGCTCTTGTTGCCCAGGCTGGAGTGCAATGGCATGATCTCAGCTCACCGCGACCTCCACCTCCTGGGTTCAAGTGATTCTCCTGCCTCAGCCTCCCAAGTAGCTGGGATTACAGGCATGCGCCACCATGCCTGGCTAATTTTGTATTTTTAGTAGAGATGGGGTTTCTCCATGTTGGTTAGGCTGGTCTTGAACTCCTGACCTCAGGTGATCTGTCTGCCTTGGCGTCCCAAAGTGCTGGGATTACAGGCGTGAGCCACCACGCCCGGCCTTGTTAACTGTTTTTAACTGTTCTGTTTGTCTTTACATATTTTTATAAACACAGAGTCTGACTATGTTGCCCACGCCTTGGCCTCTCAAAGTGCTGGGATTACAGGAGTGAGCCACCACACTTAACTATTTTGAATGCCACCTGCTTATTCCAAATATTTTTCTTTTTTTTGAGACAGGGTCTTGTTCTGTCTCCTAGGCTGGAGTACAGTGGAACAATCGCAGCCCATTGCAGCCTCAGACTCCTGGGTTCAAGTGATCCTCCCGCCTCAGCCTCTTGAGTAGCTGGGACTACAAGCATGCACCACTATGCCTGGCTCCAGGCAGGCTCCAGTTCTCTTAAGCTTAAGCATTAGCTTCTCCAACTACACTCCTTCATTGAGTTATGCCCTATATCCATGGTTTCACAGGACCCTCTCTCAATGAATTTAGCTCTCCTATAGTTATCTTTTATAACCATGGATTTATGGGTCTGTTCTTCCACTTCTCTGGCAGCTCTTTGGGGACTGGGGCAGTATCTTTACTTACATTTCTAAGTTTGCATCCTCAGGACCTAGCACTTGTATCTAAGTGTCTGGCCTTAGAATGGTGCTCAATAAATATCTGTTGAGATACTGATGAATTGTCCCCTATAGCTGAATGATTACGACGTTATGAATAAGGCTCTACTTTTCCCCACTTCGTGGCCTTACAGGCACTCCCAGTAACAGCTCACTGGCCGGATACAAATTCGATTCATGTTTCTTCTTTCAAACACAGCCCCCATTTCCAAAGATACTGGAATGGGAACCTAGATGCCCAAAGCCATTGTTTTAGAGCTACCTCCTGTGGCCCCAAATCATTAAAGACCTTTATAATTGTGCCTATTTATACTCAGGGACGTGTTTTCAGGGGAAGAGGGAGGAGTGTGGCTCTACTCCTCAACTGGCAACATCAGATGGAATTTGCCTCCATTGGTCTCACAATATCATAACATTTTCTTTTTTTTTTTTTTTTTTTTTTGAGGCGGAGTCTCGCTCTGTCGCCCAGGCTGGAGTGCAGTGGCCAGATCTCAGCTCACTGCAAGCTCCGCCTCCCGGGTTCACGCCATTCTCCTGCCTCAGCCTCCCGAGTAGCTGGGACCACAGGCGCCCGTCACCTCCCCGGCTAGTTTTTTGTATTTTTTAGTAGAGACGGGGTTTCACCGTGTTAGCCAGGATGGTCTCGATCTCCTGACCTCGTGATCCGCCCGTCTCGGCCTCCCAAAGTGCTGGGATTACAGGCTTGAGCCACCGCGCCCGGCCTATCATAACATTTTCAACCAATTAGTTTAAATTTACTTTCATATAGAAGACTAGTAAAAAAAAAAAAAAAAAAATCCCAATGTTTGTTCTGAGTGATTTTAAAATTCCTTTAAGCTTGTTGTTCCCAGCCTGCCAGAGGCCATGGAATTATAGCAAAGGAATTAAGATTACAAGGGGATCTCTGTGTTTCCACAGACACATCAAAGGATGCTAAAGGTACACTGTACTTCCTATAAAGGTCCTTTTTTTTTTTTTTTCTTTAAGGAAAAGGCCACCATAATTTGAAAAATGTTATATTTCTATGTTTTGTTGTATTTTTATGGCAGGCATGTATTACTTTTATAATGAGAAAAAGGTAGAATGAGCTTAATTTAATATTCTTTCCTCAAGAAAAATAAACTCAAAGATGTCATTTAGGTGGGGAACTACGAGGAAAAAGTTGGATGGGCTATGACCATGAGATCCTTCAAATGAACCATCCAGATCTGTCAACAAACATTTATTAAGCACCTACTAGTGACCAGGCACTGCTGGTACCTGCGAGGAATAGCTTTAGGCAGCATTTCTCAAAGTGTAGATCCTTTGCCCACCTGTAGCAGAATCACTCTGGGAAACTTGTTAACATCAGGTTTCTGGAATCCACCATAGACCACCTAGTCAGAATTTTGGGATGTGGCCTGGGAATTAGCATCTTTAAACATGCTACCTAGATTACTCTTTTTTTTTTTTTTTGAGATGGAGTTTTCCTCTTATTGCCCAGGCTGGAGTTCAGTGGTGCAATCTTGGCTCACTGCAGCCTCTGCCTCCTGGGTTCAAGCAATTCTCCTGCCTCAGCCTCCTGAGTAGCTGGGATTACAGGCACCTGCTACTACGCCTGGCTAATTTTTTATATTTTTAATAGAGACAGGGTTTCACATGTTGGCCAGGCTGGTCTCGAACTCTTGACCTCAGGTGATCCACCCGCCTCGGCTTCCCAAAATGCAGGCATTACAGGCATGAGCCACTGTGCCCGGCCCTTAGATTACTCTTATGCACATTCTAGTTTGAGAAACCCCGCTTTAATGAATGACTTTAACTGCAATGACTGGTTTTAATGAAACATGTCAGCAAGTATAACAACAAGATTTCATCTCAGAACAAGATTTTAGCCTAGAAGTTCAGGAAACATGGCTCCTTGCACAATAAAGCAGGGCGCACTTGGGCTATACATCCGTGGTTTCTTAGGGAAGCAGGCATAGGCACTGTGTCAAAGTGACCAGGTGCAGCATGTGCACAGGCCCTGCAACAGTGGTCTTTCAAGAACTCATATGGTGGAATTAAGCCTTGTGAGAAATAAGGATTCCCTAGAATTTAGAAAAAGTCATGGGTGCTTTGGCCTCCTCTCCTTTAGAGTGCACTTGAGTATCTGGAAAAGTTCTTCTGAGCTTTGCCCACATGCATAATAGGCCCTCTGCATCTGAAATACTCACTCTGTGTCTTCTCGATGGTGTTCAGCAGTGGGTGAACCAAGGTGGTAGCCTGTAGACATGTTTTCAAGCTGAGCTGCTATGGCACTTATGTTGGTATCTGCTACAACCTGGGGAAAAAGTGAAAACAAGGTATTTTATTATAAGGAAGGGGAGAATTAGAGAAACCATGCTATATCCAAGGGTCAGTTCTCAATCCTGATCTCATCCAACTTATCTGGACCATTTGACACAATGGACTATTCTCTCTTTCAGACTTTTTTTTTTTTTAAGACAGGGTCTCACTCTGTTGCTCAGGCTGGAGTGCAGTGATATGATTTCAACTCACTGTAGCCTTGACTTCCCAGGCTCAAGTGATCGTCCCACCTCAGCCTCCCACGTAGCTGGGACCACAGGCATGCACCACCAGGCCCGGCTAATTTTTTTTTTTTTTTTGAGATAGAGTTTCACTCTTGTCACCCGGGCTGGAGTGCAGTGGTGCGATCTTGGCTCACTGCAAACTCTGCCTCCCAGGTTCAAGTGATTCTCCTGACTGAGCCTCCTAACTGGGATTACAGACACCCGCCACCATGCCTGACTAATTTTTTTTTTTTTGAGACGGAGTCTCGCTCTGTCACCAGGCTGGAGTGCAGTGGCACGATCTTGGCTCACTATAACCTCCGCCTCCTGGATTCAAGCGATTCTCCGCCTCAACCTCCCGAGTAGCTGGGACTACAGGCACACGCCACCACGCCTGGCTAATTTCTGTATTTTTAGTAGAGATGGGGTTTCACCATGTTGGCCAGGATCGTCTCCATCTCTTGACCTCATGATCCACCTGCCTTGGCCTCCCAAAGTGCTGGGATTACAGGTGTGAGCCACCGTGCCTGGCCTAATTTTTATATTTTTAGTAGAGACGGGGTTTCACCATGTTGGCCAGGCTGGTCTCAAACTCCTGACCTCAGGTGATCCGCCCACCTTGGCCTCCCAAAGTGCTGGGATTATAGGCATGAGCCACCACGCCCGGCCCTGGCTAATTTTTTTGTATTTGTAGAGATGGAGTTTTTGCCATGTTGCTCAGGCTGGTCTCCCACATCTGAGCTCAAGTGATGTGCCCACCTTGGTATCCCAAAGTGTTGGTATTATAAGTATGTGCCCCTGTGCCCAGCCTTAAACTATTTTCTTCATTTCTTCGTTTGGCTTCCATGACACCACAATTCATTAGTTTATTTTCCACCACTTCTGGCCATTCCTTCTATCATTCAAACCTCTAACTGAGGGCCACAGGGCTTAGTCCTTGAGCTTCTTATCTTTTCCATTAAACATATTATCCCATCCCATTGTCTCCCATTCCATCCCATCCCATATCCCATTCCATCCATCTCATGAATGTAAATACCATTTAAGTGATGATAATCCCTGAATCTGTATCTCTAGCTCCAATGCTTACCTAACACCAGATCCATATATCCAGTTGGTGACTGGATATATGGATCTAGTTGTCACTGGGTCCATAGATATCTATGGGACATCTCCAGGAATCTCAAAGCTAACATGTCTAAAATGGAGCCTTTGCTCCCTGCAACCTTTGCTCCTGGAGCCTTCTTCATCTTGGGCAACTGCAACTTGATGTTTCCAGTTTCAAGGATGGTGTCATCCTTGGCTCATCTCTGTCTCTCACAACCCACATTCCATCCTCATGAAATTCTATTGGTTTTTCTTTCTTTAAAATTTTTTTATTATTTTTATTTTTTTGAGACGGAGTTTCACTCTTGTTGCCCAGGCTGGAGTGCAATGGCGCGATCTCGGCTCACCACAACCTCTGCCTCCTGGGTTCAAGCGATTCTCTTGCCTCAGCCTCCCGGTAGCTGGGATTACAGGCATGCACCACCACGCACAGTTAATTGTTTTGTATTTTAGTAGAGACAGGGTTTCTTCATGTTGGTCAGACTGGTCTCGAACTTCTGACCTGAGGTGATCCGCCCGCCTCAGCCTCCCAAAGTGCAGGGATTACAGGCGTGAGCCACCATGGCCGGCAAAATTCTCTTGGTTTTTCTATGAAACCATTTCTAGCCTTCTCACTGGTCTCCTCGCTTCAGCCCCTCCATCCATAGCGGCTAGGATGTTTCTGTTACAATGGAGCAGATTATTCCAATATTTTGCTTAAAACTGTCCAAAGAAAGCCGACTCTCTTGGACCACCACTGAAGTCCCTCTTATGACCTCTAGGGTCATCTGCAGTGATGTGCCCTGTGACATCTCTGCGTCTCCCCTAACATTCTCCTCGGTATTCTCTCTGCCCTTTGTGCCGGCCTCCTCGCTGTTTCTCTCACGTGCCAGACACATCCCCACCTCAGCACTTGAACCGCTGTGCCTTCTGCCTGGCACGTTCTGTATTTGGCATCTGTGTGGCTGGCTTCTTCCCTACTCTTAGGCCTTTGAGCCACCTTCCCTGGTCACTGTAACTAACCTTTCCACGCCAACATCCCAGCTCCATGTTTCATGTTCCCCTTCCCTGCTTCCTGGTTCCTTCTAAATATTTATTTATTTCATTTATTTATTTATTTATTTTTTTGAGACAGAGTCTCACTCTGTCACCCAGGCTGGAGTGCAGTGGCACGATCTTGGCTCACTGTAGCCTCTGCCTCCCGAGTTCAAGCAATTCTCGTGCCTCAGCCTCCCAAGTAGCTGGGATTATAGGCACAGGCCACCATGCCTGGCTAATTTTTTTGTATTTTTAGTAGAGACGGGGTTTCACCATGTTGGCTAGGCTGGTCTTGAAGTCCTGACCTCAAGTGATCTGCCCGTCTTGGCCTCACAAAGTGCTGAGATTACAGGCATGAGCCACCACGCCTGGCCTTTTATTTTTTGAGACAGGGACTCGCTGTCGCCCAGGCTGGAGTCCAGTGGTATGATCTCAGCTCACTGCAGCCTCGACCTCCTGGGCTCAAGAGATCCTCCCACCTCATCCTCCAAGTAGCTGGACTACCGGCATGCACCACCATACCCAGCTAACTTTTTAGTTTTTGTAGCAACAGTGTCTCACTGTGTTGCTCAGGCTGGTCTTAAACTCCTGGGCTCAAGTAATCCTCCCACCTTGGCTCCAAAAGTAGGGAGGATTACAGGCGTGAGCCACCCCACCTGGCCTGTTTCCTTCTTACCACCATCACTATCTAATGAACTGCATACATCTTACCTTGTTTATCTTATTTATTGTCTATCGCTTCATATTAGAATGTGAGGGCAGGAAGTTTGTCTGCTTTGTTCACTCCTGTATTCCCCATCACATAGAAGAGTGCCTAGCACAGAGCAGGTGCTCAGTAAATAACTGGTGAATGAAAGAATGGATGAATATCTCTGACTCCCTGAGATTTGCCTCTTAGATAGTCCTGAACAAAGGTATAGTAGAATAGGCTGTGTACTGTGGCTTGCACCTGTAATCCCAGCACTTTTGGAAGCTGAGGTGGGCGGATCACTCGAGCTCAGGAGTTCCAGACCAGCCTGGGTAACATGACAAAACTCTGTCTCTACTAAAAATACAAAAAACATTAGCCGGTGTGGTGGCACACGCCTGGAGTCCCAGCTACTCGGAAGGCAGAGGTTGCAATGAGCAGAGATCATATCACCACATTCCAGAGTAAAACTCTGTCTCAAAAAAGAAAATAATAAAAATAACCAAAGAAACCCACAAACGCACACAAAAACCAACGTATAGTAGAATAATGGCATTTAAACACTCACTTTATATTTGCATTCTCCAAATAATTTTCTTTTTTTTTTTGCAAATAACATTCTAAAGCATTTAGAAGAAATACAGTATAGCTCTGGGAGTCCACAACAGGACTCAGGATGGAGTTCCGGAGTTCAGTGTCAGCCACTTATCAATGCCGGATCTGAGTTTCAGCTTCCTCATCTATTAAATGGGAATCATAAAAGTCTGCTTTGCCGCCTTATCCTGGAGTTGTCTTCCACCTCAACTAGTTACCAGAGATACTTTCTCAAGAGCTCCTTGTTACCCCTGCTTCTAGGTTATAATTCTCACTGCACAAATACAGAGGGAACTTGGCCTGCCAGCACTGCAAAGCTTGACTTGATTGCAGTTTCAGAAAAGGCCAACAGAGGGCACGGCTGCCTAAACTGCTAAATTAAGCTTCATCTCTTAAGTAGAGCAGAAAAAGAAAGGCAACAGGCCTGCCCCAGAACACATTTTGGGTGAAGCATCCTATTCTGGGGAAAACAGTGCTACGTCCAAGTTACAGAATCTTCTGGAAATACCAGTGTATGAAGAATGACGGAATGAATTGGGAAATATTTAGGATGAAAGATTAAAGGAGGAAACGACAGATTTCTCCCTGCCCCCAAGTTCTGCTCTCTTCCACAGCAAGTGTACTGGAAGGGTTAACTTGTCCATGAACTCTTTTATCCTCCCTACTTTTGGAGTCTACCATCTTTATAAACCTACCCCTCTCCAGTTTCCATCCCCATCTCCTACCCAAACTTCCATGACCCACATTCTTCTGGCTTTCCTTCTGTGGGGGCCTGTTTCTCCATCTCTTTGCTCTTCTTCCATTCATCTCTTATGATGCAGTCCTGGGCCCATTGTCCCCTTGCACACTCAGGCTCAAGTGACAGCATGTACATTCCCATAGCTTTACATTCCAACAACGTGCTCACAATCCCAGCTTAGGCCAGGCGTGGTGGCTCACGCCTGTAATCCCAGCACTTTGGGAGGCAGAGCGGGCTGGATCACCTGAGGTAAAGAGTTCAAGACCAGCCTGGCCAACGTGGTGAAACCTGGTCTCTACTAAAAATAAAAAAAATCAGCTGGGTGTGGTGGCGGGTGCCTGTAATCCCAGCTACTTGGGAGGCTGAGGCAGGAGAGCTGCTTGAACCCAGGAGGCATAGGTTGCAGTGAGCTGAGATCACGCCATGGCACTTCAGCCTGGATGACAGAGCAAGACTCTGTCTCAAAAAATAAATAAATAAATAAAAAAATCCCAGCTTAGTCTGTGATATCCAATTGCCAACTTGACATCTGCATTTTAATATCTCAGAGACGCATCAAAATTAACACAATACCCAAACTTTTGATCCAACAATTCATTTCCTTCAATTCACTTTTCTTCTAGTTT